CTTGCTACTGAGACTTTGCATTCTAATATAATAGTCATCATATTACATGGCGCTGCTAGAACAAAGTAATTAAAAATCAGAAAATGGCTTGGGCATCGTCACTCGGAAAAATCGACAAAAATAGTAATTCAACGTAAACAATGTAGCTAAACAACAATAAACAAGAATTTTTGCAAAAATCATCGATTTAAAGGGATATTTTAAAAAAATTCGGAAAGTAATGAAAACACGTTCACAAGCCAAAGTCGACAAAGAGCTTGGTATAAAACAACATCGGATACAAAAATTAAGACAAACAACAGAAAAGAATCCAAAAAACAGGGATAATTATAAACGAATTCCAGTGACACAATTTCCGAAAATTGAATTAAAACACCACACAATAAAAATGACAGAGCATTTGAAACAAGTAGAAAAACTGTGTCTCGACGGAAACATAGCTGAACATTGGAAACGATTTAAAAGGAATTTCGATATTTACATGGTAGCATCGGGAATAAATACAAAGCCAAATCTGATAAAAGTAAATACATTTTTAAATGCAATTGGATCGGATGCAGTCGAGGTATTTGACACATTCACATTGACAGAGGAACAAAAGGGCGAGTACAACGAGGTCATTAAAGCATTCACCGAATTTTGCACACCGAAGAAAAATCAGATTTACGAACGATTTATGTTTTATCAACGAAAACAAAAAGAAAATGAGCCATTTGATGCATTTTTAATGGATATCAAACGCTTGGTGAAAACATGTGAATTTGGTGATAAGGAAAATGAAATGCTGAGAGATCAAATCGTAATGGGCATCGATGACAAAAAACAGCAACAACGATTATTAGAAAAGGCTGACTTGAATTACGACACCGCTGTGGAAAAATGTAGAGCAAACGAAGCAACGAAAGAACAATCATCGACAATGAACAAAAGTCATGACATCCATGAAGTCCGTAGTGGTCACTTTAACAGCCGCTATTCGCACGAGCAACCGAAAAAATACAGCAACAACAACGGGCGAAAAGTAGACAAACGAGACATGCGGTTGAATGGAGCACGCACACAATCACAACAACAACACCGAAACAGCAATACAAAGTCACACCGACAGAATGGCGACAGCATTAGCATGATCGAAAACTGTAGTAAGTGTGCTTTAACACACAAACGGAGAGAGTGTCCGGCGTACGGTAAAATTTGTAATTCTTGTAAACGTGGTAACCATTTCGCCAGATGTTGCAAATCTAAAAAAGTAGATTCTTTCGTAGTAAATGATAACTCTAATTATGATTTTGATGATAACGAAGAATTTTATATAGGAACAGTAGAGCAAGTAAGCAAAATAACAGAATCAAATGTATATCCGTGGTTGGAAAAAATTAACATTAAGGGAAAACTAATATCATTCAAAGTTGACACTGGCGCTGAAATTGATGTCTTGCCGCTGAGCATATTCAAGCGATTAATTGGTAACGTGAATTTGATCAAAACGGGAATAATACTAAAAGCATTTGGAGGCCAAAAAATCAACCCAATGGGTATGTGTTTAATCGATTGCAAATATCATAACAAAACATTGAAACGACGTATCGCGGTTGTTGACATTGAAATGACACCGATTTTGGGATTGAAGTCATGTATTGAGTTTGGAATTGTCTCGAAAAGTAAAGAAAAACATTTATGACTAGAATCGATTGAGAATGAAATAAACAAAGAGTACATTCAAAATCGATATCCACAATTGTTTAAGGGAATGGGTTGTTTCGAAAAAGAATATTCAATTACACTCAAGGAAAACAGTAAGCCAGTAGCACATGCACCACGTAGAGTGCCATTATCACTAATGAATAAATTAAAGTCAAAACTGGATCAGTTAGTCAAACATAAAATTATTGAAAAGGCAGAAGGCTACAATGAATGGGTAAACCATTTGGTGACAGTAGAGAAAAAAGACAAAGAGAAATCATTAAGATTATGCATAGACCCACAAGAATTAAATGATTGTATAGCAAATGAACACACCTACACACCCACATTCGAAGAAGTAACAGCAAAATTAAATGACATGAAATACTTTACAGTTCTAGATTTAAAAGATGGGTTTTGGCACGTCAAATTAAATGAAAAATCTAAGAGGTTGTGTACATTTGCGACGCCATTTGGAAATTACAGATTCAAAAGATTACCATTTGGCATAAAAACGGCACCGAGTGCGTTTCAGAAAATGAACTTTGAAAATTTTGGTGACATTGAGAATGTTATAATTTATTTCGACGATATTTTGATAATGGGTAAAGATAGAAAATCACACGATGAAACATTAATTAAAGTACTAGAGAGAGCCAAAGAAAAAAATGTAAAATTTAACATAAACAAACTGCAGGTGGCAGTAGAGAGTGTGAAATACCTTGGTCATATAATTTCTCATAACAAAATAAAACCAGACCCCGAGAGACTCACAGCGATCGAACAAATGGGTCCTCCGACAAATAAAAAAGATTTACAAACATTCATGGGCGTTGTCAATTTTTTAAGACCATTCATACCAAATTTATCAGAGACAACAGCACCATTGAGAGAATTATTGAAAAAGAATGTGATATATCAATGGACAGAGATTCATACACGCGCATTTGATAACATAAAGAAACATACAGTAAATTCAAACATACTGGTGCCATTTGATGAAAACAAAGCAATTGAAATTCAATGCGATGCTTCAAAAGGTGGTCTCGGGTGTAGCCTTATCCAAGACGGCTTGCCAATAGCATTTGCTTCTCGTACTTTAACCGATACCGAAAAAGATTACGCGCAAATTGAAAAAGAAATGCTATCGATATTATTCGCATGTAATAAGTTTAAATTCTTCATATACGGTAAACCAATTAAAGTGGTTAATGATCACAAACCACTATTGGGTATTATGAAAAAAGAGATTCACAAAATCTCTTCATCAAAATTACAAAGATTAAAGTTACAATTACTCAATTATGATATCACATTGCACTATGCGCCGGGTAAAACAATACACATGGCCGATTATTTATCGCGATATATGATGAAAACTAGCGACAATGAGAGTGAAAAGAATATCGCAGAGTCTATAATGTCAATAAATGTTAGTGACAAACGTAAAGAACAGTTGAAAATGGAGACAGAAAAAGATGAAATTTTAAATAAAGTAAAAGAATATTGTAGAAACGGTTGGCCAAAAGACAAATCTAAGTGCCCAGATCAGATAAGATATTATTATAAAATCAGAAACGACATTCTCTTGGACGATGATTTACTATTCTTCAAAGAAAGGGTCATAATACCAAAAACAATGCAGAAAGAAATGTTAGACAAACTCCATGAATCTCATTTTGGAATAACAAAAACCCAGAAAAGAGCACAAAGCGCGTTATATTGGCCAAATATTAACAATGAAATAGAACAATTGGTGTCGGCATGCCAAAAATGTCAGTTAAACTCAAAAATGAATAGAAAACAGCCTATGATTTCACATGAAATACCTACAAAACCATTTCAAAAAGTAGCATGTGACATATTAGAATATCAAGGAAAAAATTACTTAGCACTTATAGATTACTATTCGAAATGGATAGAGTTAATTAAGTTAAGAGGTAAAACCGCCGATATAATAAACAATGAATTACTACACATTTTTTCAAAATACGGCTATCCACATGTTATCATTGCAGATAACATGCCATTTGGGTCATTCGCTTGTAAACAGTTCGCCGATAAACATGATATTAAAATCATAACAACGAGTCCGAATTATCCACAATCGAATGGTATGGCCGAAAAAGCAGTAAACATAGCAAAAAATATTCTTAAAAGAGCAGAAAATGAACAAGACGTAGCAAGGTCATTAATAGCATATCGTACAACACCAACCAAATACATGACTTACTCACCGAGTGAATTGCTTCAAAACAGAATGCTAAGAACAAACATCCCAATGCATAACAATAAATTCAATCCAAAATTGTGTGTCAACGTCGAAAATGAATTAAACAAAAAACAACAGAAAGCGAAAGATTATTATGATAAAACAGCAAAAGATCGAAACACAGACTATAAACAAAACCAACCAGTGCTATTCAGAAATAATAAAAAATGGCAATTTGGTAAAATAATAAACAAACATTCGACACCAAGATCATTTGAAATTAGCTCAGACGACAGGCACTATCGACGCACCACAAAACATATAAAACATTTCAATGAACCACAGATAAACACAAACGATCCAAAAACAACTCGTAGCGGTAGAAAATACTAATTTTGTTATTTTTTTTTGTAAAAACAAGCAATTTTTTCTAATTATTTAAATTAAGTCATATAAAAAAAAATTTGCACTCTCCATTTAATTCCAAATGTAATAAATAAAAAAAAAAAAAAAAAAAAAAAATTGGGAAGGTAAATGAAATAAAAAAGAATTGAATTTAAGTAATAAACTAAAAAGGGGAGATGTCGCATGACAATACTCTCACAGTATTAAGCATCATTGTAATAGCT